TGTGAAACCAGTTGGGGACTCGCAAAGCACAGTGGCTATCATGTTTTTTTTACTGCCAAAATGCCAAGTTATTGTTAAAAAACTTAAGTAACCATGGTTGTAAGAATGACAATTTCAGTTGGCCCCATCCCCAGTGATCTGAAACAGTCCATGGATGATGTAAGGGAAACTTTTGACGAAACCAGAGTAGATACCCCAAATACTTCGCGGTTTCCTATGGTTTCGACATTTTCCCGGCAACCTCTGGAAGTCCAGGATCAGGTGTTGTACCTGGATGTTGCAGCATTCGCCCCCGCGCGTGCGGCCAGAAATGAGACACGCCTTGCGGATTGCTGGTGCCATCGTTGACCTGCCGGTGAAGTTGTAGAAACCTCGCAGAACTGAACTGGATCTGAAAACCATGACAGCAACCCTGAATTATCTGAATTGGAGGCATCACCACCGGATTTATATAAAGGAGTCCGAGTCCCGACTTGAAAGTCCACAGCTTCAGCCTCGCATTTCTCATCGGCCCTCTCAAGGCAATCTTGAAATTTCCAACATGGTATGGGTCAAACTTGGATATTTGCAAATGGCATCCTCAAGCCAAATATACCAATTTCTGTGAGGTTCTGAAACCGTTAACCTACACCAATTTTATCACTCCTGATTTCCAGTGGCACTTGTCTTGTCTTCAACTTCAGTAAAAGGGAAGACCGGGACCAAAACACGTGGTTTTCCAACCAAATGTTCACTCCCAGGCAACGCCTCTTTGTCACTTGTGATCCGTGCCCACCTAGCCATGTTTGGGTGTGAAGTTCTTACCCAACGACCTTTTGATGGCCAGCATCCAAATCAACCATACGAACCAGTATGGACCCTATAACACATGGCCGCAACAGCAATGGCCACATGGTTATATGCCTGATTATATGAATCACATGGATTCTATTGCTAAAATCCAAGGGGGTTCCACCCCAGAAAGTCAACTGGACCGCAGATTTTCTTGGAGGATCCATTTGGAGACTGGGCTCCCAAGAAACTGCGGAATTTTTGCTGTACCCTGACACCTAGGCGCCTCCAAGATATATATTTGATCTCTCTCTTTATTGCTGTGAATTGGTGAATTTGCTGTTTATATACCCTCCGGTAATCCAACATAGATTTTGTGGTATTCACGGCCAGGATCATCTTCCCACTCACGGCCAGAAACTGTGGTGAGGCACACGACGCCGCCTCTTCACTACCTGTGAGGAAGCTGTCCAGACTTGGAACATCCAGGGCAGGCTGACAAACAGGGTTTTGATATTTGTTATATGAAATTCTGGGGAGTGTTCAAATGTACTTGCTGGATATATACATGTATATTCATACACACGTGTAAATTATATGTGTATACATGTAATATTGCATATACATGCATATATATATATATATGCATAGTATACATGCATATACATCCATAATATACATGAATATACATGCATGTAAATGTATTAGCCAATTCATTTCGCTATTGATACTGTATTTCGTGGATAGATCGATAGCTCCTACATCAGGTGGTCACTGTGTGATTTCAAAGGGTTTCAGACCGACGAAATTAGGCAAATTAGATCTGCTGACCTAGTAGCAAGGAAAACAGCGGACAAACTTTCACAGTTCGACTCCTCCAAACTGACTCCAATTGCATGATGTTTCTGTTTGTTAACAAATGGGGTTGTGATCCTGTTAGGGGCTTATAGACCTGTCTGAAATGTTCGTGTTTCCTGGGCGCATAAGTACTCACAGATAAAGTGTATCTGGATGTGTTCGCACGATCACCGTATTCACGTTGACTCGAGACGTGCCAGTGTTTGTAGGCCAAACAGGCAAACAATTCAGAAGAGAAAATCAGATTCACGCATTTTCAAATTCCCAATTTCACATGCATGGCTAGACAATGGGGTGACTTTGACCCAATAATTTGGTCACTTAGTATGAAGATTGAAGATAGATCTTGAACCATGATTTGTGCCGGTAAAAATGAAAATATTTTGTTGGGATCTGTGATCCTGTTCAAATCATCATAATACTATCCGTGAAAACTTAGAATTGAAAAACGCATTCAATACATGGTTTACGTCAATATGGGATATATAAGCATGATGTATCCGTCCACGATATACAAATTGGCAGTTTTTGTCCTACTTCCATTTCGATCATCTCCCATGACCACGTGGGCAATCCGAAGAAAAACGAAACTCTGGTGAGACGGATTAAAATTTGCAAAATTGAAAGTCCAACCAAAGATGACCAAAATTTTAAGTTTTCTGGTTTCCAAATTTTCCAATGCTTATTTTTCTACCCTGACCACACAAGAGGTAGCGAAATCACTGCTCTTTTCAACCTGTGTACCACAATCCTCTTCCGTCGCCACGACAGAAACCACCAATGCCGCCACGAACAAAAACGCTTTGACGCCGGCCGTGACCATGACAAGTTGGTGAACCACGGTTCAACAGCACAGCATATGAAATACTCAGAGAAATGGATGGAATATGCCCAGGCGTTTATGAATTATATAAATTTTCAGCTTAAATATAGATGGAATTATGCCCATATATAAACATTCTAAACTTGTTTATGGATGGAATATGTTTATTGTTCTCAACTTGCACAGCTCTGATGGCGGGCAGATGGCGGGCGAAGATACTGAGCCCGACTGCACATGTAGGATTCAACACTGCAAGCTGTGACAACTGGACATTCCAGTTTCTGCGTTTGTTTCCAATAAGGTTTTATCCCTTCGGGAGAAAACTCATATATGTATATGTAGTATATGATATGGGTTACATACGGGTTTTTGATATGAGTTGCAGACAAGTTTTTGACCGTTTTCTAGCTAGGAGGCACACCCAAGTATGATATCCTGCAATTTTGGAATTTTGGGAATTGGTTCCCACTGCGGCGATGACAATGGTTTTTTGTGTGGAGTTTGGATTCGTACAAAATCCAAACAATGGAAATCAACATTGTTAACATATTGGGAAATCAGACCTCTGGCAATTCGTCTCGGGATACTTGGGACGGTGATGGTTTGTTTTGCATGTGGGTCACAAAATCAAACCGCTGACGTGGCAAAACAACATTGCGATGTTTCCTTTGAAATTACACCACGTTTTGAATGTGTAAAACAAATTTGCTGGTGCCAAAAAATAATAAAGCACAAGGTCAAACCATAGGAACCCAAAACATCATGGGCGCATGGCCGGCCCATTGTTATCCTTATGTCCGGATTTTGAGCCACACCCACGCAAGCAATCCGCACAAATGCCCAGACGCAACCGTTCTTGTTTTTTTCATCGGGGTACAAACAACCACTGGAGATGCCCCTGCATAAAAAACCAAGGAAAATGACAAAGATCGAATTCAATGCGATTTTGTACCTGAATTCACGATTGCAAAAGAAAAAACGAATGCAAAGGAAAGAGACGAACGCATTTAAAACTAGGAGGAGGGTACGAAAACTAGCTTCCCGGGATGCTTACTTAGATGCCCGAGACGTGTAGATGCGAAATGCGGCAATCATATTATTTTTATTTACCTGCTGCCAGCTGTGAGCACCCCATGGAAAAAAATACGCGGCAAATTTCCAGACAAAATCTTGAAAGAAAAAAACATTGCCCAAACCGGAAGCCAAAAATCAATGCACAGACAGAAATGCGTATACTGGATGAAAGATAAAGAGGAAACAACATGACATTACAAGAAATATGATATATTATATTATGCAAATGAAACGGCGCACGGCGAGCTGTCTCTTTTAAACTGGGCCGCGAAGGTCATACACAGTTATCGTGCATGCCACAAATGACAATGTGATTTCACATGTCACCACATGGTTGTTGTCGATACGTCCCATGAGTCCACACTTCTCGATTTGTGCTGTGTGTCATCCTTGCGCAGTGGTCATGCAGCTGTAATGGAACTGAGAAGTACTGACATCAAAGTTTCGCACTCCTCCTTGGATTGGTGGGTTTCAACTGTCCAATCCACATCCGTCCATCTGATTTTCTCTCACCACCGCTGCACTACACACATCTCATGCACAAGAAAATGAGAATCGGGCTTTGGGTTTACCCGGCAACCCCATTTCAAATTTCATCCATCACTCAATGAAAACCATCTCAGGCAGCTGATTTGCGTAAGCCTGGACCCTCTCAGCAATAAGGTTCTCCTCGTTGACTCTTTGTCGATCTGCAATTCTTTCAAGTCTGTCTCCAAGCTGCTGATACAATCTGATTCTTGGTCCCCTTTCTAAGGGCTGTCCACCATTCAAAGCCTCCAACACCATCATGATGCATCTTTGAATCTGCAAACTTTTCCTGGGCAAGAAACACCTCGGCATCCATGCAACATTTATTGCATGCTGTCCATGACATTGCATGGAAAACCCAAAACAATTTGTTTTGGTTTGAAACGGTTGTCACACTGTTAAGTACAGATACCGATACCACACAACTGGTCTGTGTGCATCCATGCTATGTACGTTGGTTACTACATGGTTTACATGTAATCACCCCGCCTTCACACCCAAAAGGCTGGTTCAAGCCGTGGAGTGTGAACCTACCAAAAAACACCAACCGTTCGTTTTCCTTCCATGAGGACATCGTCTATGTCCCACAGCTAAGTGCCATGGAAGAACCAAGTTTTGAAGCAACAAAATGGCACACAAAAACCAAATTGCAACGTGTGAAACTTCAGTGCTATCACAGCTCTCAGGGTTGCTGCTGGTGAGATCACGTTAACTCACCACACAGCCATTGCATGAAAACTGAAAATTGCAAAGTACTGCAATGGAGATCGTGTTAGCTCCGTGCGCAGTCTGGTATCCATCCCAGGGATCGTGTTAGCCCTTGGCATGGCTCATTTTTCTCAACTTGCATGTCTTGGGTCATTCAACGCTCTCATGCATTGAGCAACTGCAGTGTCAGTTTCCTCCGGTCCATCATTCAGCATGGCAATCTGAAATGGAATCGGCCACTACACTCCCAGAGCTTGGGACGCCCATGACTGGCGTTGCTGATGCGGTTGCAGCGGAAAGCAGGCTTGTACCCACTTGGATTGCTTGGTGAGCTTGTCTCAGCTCGCTTCAATTCACAATCCTTCAGTCTCAATCTAGACTTCATCTTTAGATTCCACCCCCCTCTGCCTTGCTTCAGAGACCTTCAGTCTCAATCTAGACTTCATCTTTAAATTCCATTCTCCCTGCCTCAATTCACAGACCTTCAGTCCCAATCTAGACTTCATCTTTAAATTCCACCCCCCGCTGCCTTGCTTCACAGACCTTCAGTCTCAATCTAGACTTCATCTTTAAATTCCACCATTCTCTGCCTTGCTTCACAGACCTTCATTCTCAATCTAGACTGCATCTTTAAATTCCATTCTCCCTGCCTCAATTCACAGACCTTCAGTCTCAATCTAGACTTCATCTTTAAATTCCTCCCCCGCTGCCTTGCTTCACAGACCTTCAGTCTCAATCTAGATTTCATCTTTAAATTCCACCATTCTCTGCCTTGCTTCACAGACCTTCATTCTCAATCTAGACTTCATCTTTAAATTCCATTCTCCCTGCCTCAATTCACAGACCTTCAGTCTCAATCTAGACTTCATCTTATAGTTCCACCCCCCTGCCTCAATTCACAGACCTTCAGTCTCAATCTAGACTTCATCTTTAGATTCCACCCCCCTTCCTTGCTTCACAGACTTTCAGTCTCAATCTAGACTTCATCTTTAAATTCCACCCCCCCTGTCTTGCTTCACAGACCTTCAGTCTCAATCTAGACTTCATCTTTAAAAACGCCCCTGCCTCGCTTCACAGACCTTCAGTCTCAATCTAGACTTCATCTTTAATTCCACCCCCCCTGCTTCACAGACCTTCAGTCTCAATCCAGACCCACCCCCTCTGCCTTGCTTCACAGACTTCAGTCTCAATCTTTGGTTCCGTTAGTCTGGAAGTCCGCCCGCTGCTCTGGCTTTGTGTTTGGGCGCGGCTCTGGAGATGCAGGCTTTCATCTGTTCGGAATCTGGACCTTCTACAGGCCCTTGGTTTGCCAGAGGGCTTCACGGGGGCTTCAAGGTGAAGGGAAGCGCGAAGGGGGGCTGAAGAGGGCTTGAAGGGGGCACAAAGAGAGCTTGAAGGGGGCTTGAAGGGGGCTTGAAGGGAGCTTCAAGGTCAGGACCTTCAAGGAGGCTTCAAAGAGGGCTTCAAGGGGGGCTTCAAGGGAGCTTTAAGGGGGAGCTTCAAGGGAGCTTCAAGGAGGTTTCTTTTTTCTACCATTCGCCTCTTGGCTTTCGCCAGATCAAGGGGGCTTCAAGGGGCTTTAAGGGGGCTTCAACGAAGGCGGCTTCAGAGGGCTTGAAGAGGGGACGAAGAGGGCTTGAAGGGGGCTTAAAGGGAGCATGAACGGGGTTTGAAGGGGGCTTGAAGGGTTTCAAGCCTTCAGACCTTCAGCCCTCCCTCCCCTCTTCCCCCGCGAGGACCCCTTCAAGACCAATTGAAGGGTACCTTGGAAGGGGGGGGGGGTGCTCGGAACCAACCCCGCATAGACGTCGGCATGAAAGACCGCCAGTATCTGTGCCATACGAATTAACTCAGCCATATCCACTGGAGACAGGATGCAGGCATGCTCAACAGCTCCAGTAAGAGCAACTATTGCCCGCCCAAAATCCTCCTTACTGAGGTAACCGCAACCAGTTTTCACGATAACTGTTCCATCGGTGCACTCCTGAGAGCCCGGCTGCCTCCAAGGCGATCTCGTCGAGTAGTGGTATGATGCCCGTCTCAGGACCGTGCATAGACAGCTAGCCGCGGATCGATTCCCCCCGGGTACGGGGCCGCGATCGTGGGGCTGGATCCGAGAAGCCCTTCTCAAGCCCCCTTGAAGCCCTTCTCAAGCCCCCTTGAAGCCCTTCTCAAGCCCCCTTGAAGCCACCTTGAACGGGTCTCAAGCCCCGCAAGCCTCCTTCAAGCCCTTCTGAAGCCCCCGTCCAGCCCCCTGGAAGCCCGTCCAAGCCCTTCCCAAAGGGCTCTTTTATGTAATAACTTCTGTGCGACAACTTCGGTGCCCTAACTCCTGTGTAACAACGGCTGTTTAAGATGATGTAAATGATGTAGCTAATGTACATGACTGGTAGGAGATGTATGTTATGTAGATGAAGTTGATTTATCTGGGAGATGTAAAGGAAGTGAAAGTATAATACTACGAAGACGAACGTGGTAGCTGTTCTTGGGGAAATACACTGCGCAGGAGCCTAAGCAAAAAATGACGACCATCAGGATCAGCTTTCCGAAACTGCGCAAACAATCAAGAAGTTCAGTCCTTCGACATCATGCCAAAAACAGCAACATACAACCAATGTTATCTCGTCCAAGCTGCCAAAAGATATTCTCAGAACAAGCATGGAAAGAATAAAATATGGCCCATCCTGGTCGCAGGCTCTTGGGCAGACCGAT